ATGGAAATAAAAATAATATAATCCCCAGGTGAAGTAGATGCTTCATGGGAGAAGCCAATTTTCATCAAAGGAAAAATGCTCATGTGATTTTGCTTTAAAAAAAGAAAAACCCAGTATAAGAGGTTAAAGGATAAGAGTCAAAATGGGGAGATTATACTCAACTTATACATAGGTACCTAGCTAACACCCTTAATCTCCTAGGAAATTCTAAAAACTGAGAAGAACAAAAGCCAAACAACTCCGAAGCAAATGGGAAAACCGTCCCACAAAACGAAACGCAGAGGCCTTCCCCCACCTTAAGGCAAGGGCACACTCCAGCTCCACAACAGGCTCCGGGTCTCCCCAGTGGCAAACGCCGAGTTGGCAGCACCAGGGGCCAGGCACGTGTCCAGGGAGGGACCCTCAGCAATAGCCCCACCCTGAGCGGGAAGCTATCCAAAGGTGTGCTGCTTCCCGTTACCTCCACTCGGTAGGCACAGTGTGGGCAGGAGGGTGGCGGGTCAAGGGTCAGGCGTTGACCCTCTCCTTGAAGGAGCTTAGAGCCCACCCCAGGGGACAGATGGGGAGGAGAGGCCAGTGTGGACAGGGCAGCCAGGAAAAGACGCCCGGGTCCCTAATCACGAGGAAACAGCAGGAAACCAGGGCCCGGGTGAGCTCAGTGGTGGAGGCTTCCCAGCGCGCGAGGCCCCTGTCCCTAGAGAACACGCCAACCCTGAGATGATGTTCACTCAGCTTCTCTCCTCTGTGGCCTGGGGACTCCACCAGAAAACCTGTCCAGGAGAAGTTCATTTGAGGGTCACGGCCTCAGAGGTCTTAGCCCTTGGAAGGCTGCTCCACTCCTTGGGCTAGAGGTGAGGCAGAACCTCATGGTGGAGGGAAGAGCTCACGTGGTGAGACTCAAAGCCACACCCCCATGCCCACCTCGTCCGGCCACGCCCGCCTCATCTGACCACGCCCACATCATCCGACCACGCCCACCTCGCCCGGCCACGCCCACCTCGTCCGGCCACACCCACCTGCCTCCAGCCACCACCCAGTTAATCCCTGCAGGGATTAGTCTATGATTAGGTCAAGGCTCTGACCCAGTCATTTCTCCTCTGAACCTTCTTGCATTGTCTAGCACGTGGGCTTTTGGGGGACACATCACATCCAAACCCTAGCAGATGTGGTGAAATCAGAGCTCTTTGTTCTGTTGGTGGAAATATGAGGCAGCTGCTGTGGAAAACAGTAGGCAGATCCTCCGAAAGTCGAAAACAGAACTTCCAAGTGACCCAGCCACTCCGCTTCTGGGCGTAGACCCTGCCGGTTACAAGGGGGTCTCCAAAAGATGTTCATACAGCTGCGTCCACAGCTAAACTGTGCAAGTGGCCCATGTCCATTGAAGGGTAAATGAGCTGATGAGCAACTGTGGCCTGTCCACGCTGCAGAGCCGTCTTCAGCCTCAGAGGGGACTCTGACACGCTGCAGCAGGTGAGCCTGGAGGATGTGACACCTGGGAAGTGAGCCAGTCACAGAGGACAGCTTGGCAACCCACCGTCGTGGTCCCTAGAGCCCGCAGGTCCACTGGTGGCCCCAGGGGCTGGGCAGGGACTGGGAAGCTGTTGAAGGGGAACAAAGATGTAGTTTTGCGACTCCTGGGGCTAGGGATGTGGCTCAGTGGCCGGCTTGGGTGAGGCCTGGTTCCATCTTCAGCAACCACAAGAAAATAAAAGAGCCCGTGGTGGCAGCTGCAGGAAAATGGGGACGTGCGCAGCACTGCCCAGTGGCTGGACAGTGGCTAAGATGGCCAGCTCCAGGCCGTGCATGCTTCAGCACCCCTGAAAACAACACAGCTTGCAGAGCCATCTCCATCCCTCTGAGCACACTGCGGGTGTCCTGCTGTCTGGGCATCTGGGTGTGTGGGGGGGCAGGAGACTGGGCTTCCCTCCCCTCCCCAGGAAGACCCCCAGGCCTCGCTCCCTGTTTCCTGGGCTGCCCCCAGGGTCTGCCAAGCCTAGCAGACCTGACACTGACACCTGAGGCTGGCCCGACAGAAGAGGAGAGATCTTGACTCTGAGGGCTGGAAAGGAAATGGCAGGTGCTGACTTCCCGGCTCACTCCACGACTTCAGTCTCCTCCCAGGATTTTAACTCAAATGGTAAAGAAAAACAACCAGAAATCACTAAGGCTGAAGCCCAGGGGCAGGAGAGGCCGAGAGGCGGCTGGGCATCTGGAAGCCCCGAGGAAACTTCTCCCTCAGTTTCTGCTGATGACGGACAGCCAGAGCTGGAAGGGCCTCGTCCCCACCTCCAAGCTTCCTAGTCCCTCTCCAAGTCCAGGCCAAACACTCCACCCTGAGCTCCCAGGTCACTGCCCCTTCCTCTCAGCCCCGCACTGAACTCCCTGGGCCCGAGGGCAGGAAGACCAGGCCTGTGCAGGGAGCAACACAGTCCAGCCTGTCCTCCTGCCCTGGGTCATCTCTGTGGTGTTGCCATGACACTGACACAGAGGAGAGACAGCCACATGGAAAATAAACAATTATGGAGCGCGCAGCAAGGGACGGCCCCTGCAGCCTCAGCGAGGGGAGCCGAGGCAGAGTGGCTCTCCCAGTACCGCGTTCGTTTGTCAATTACTTCTAATATCTCCACGACCCAGCGTGAGTTGGGGCTTCAGAGAAACCAAGCGGCCCGGGAGGCCTGGCTCTGAGGCTGGTGCAGCCTGGCTGGGGGTGGGGAGGGCATGCCATCCTCCCTCTTCCCAGCAGGCCCTCGCAGGCCTGGCTCCTCCAGCAGGGAGCAGGAGGAAGGGCGGCTGGGGACCAACCCAGCCTCACCACAGGGGATGAGAGAGAATGCACAGTGGGAAAAGGAGCCCAGGCCTCAGCAAGACCAACCTCTGCCCCCTGTCCCTTCCCACTGTGATCCACAAGCACTCCTCCAGTACCACCTCTCTCCAGCCACATCCCCACTCCCTGGAACATGTAATATAGAAAAGTCCTTCAAATACAGTGGGCTGAGCGCCCATCAGGAATGGACCAAGAAAATAAGACACATACAAAACAGAATACTGGTCAGCCTTGAAAACGAAGGAGACCCTGGGCCAAGTGGAGCGAGGCCCTCCTATAGTCCAGCAACCTGGGAGGCTGAGGCGGAGAACTGTAAGTTCCAGGCCATTCTGGGCAACTTAGATAAAATAAAAAGGGCCAGTGGTAGGGCACTTGCCTGGCATTTGTGAGGCCCTGGGCTCAGTCTCCAGGACCAGAGGTGAAGAGATTTAAACAGCCTGGGTGACCCTGAGGGCGCTGACAAGGGAAATGAGCAGACAGATTCAACGAGCTGGTGCCCAGTGGTGGAGAGCCACACTGACCCCCCGGAGGCCCAGATGTGACAGTGCCAAGCTCGAAGCCAGCTGCAGATGGAGGGAGTATTGAGGAGCATCTCGCTGCGCTGCAGACCCAGGAGCCACGCGGGAGCCTGGGAGCCCTTCCCGGCTGGAGGACAGCCCTTGCACCATGTTTCATGGCTCAGAGACCACGCTCTCTGGTGTCTCTTTTACATGGTCCCTTCATGGGGCCCCCTTAATGACCTCTTTGACTAATGGCCTCCTGAAGGCTCCACCTTCAAATGCCACCACATGGGGCCAGGGCTTCAGTGTGTGAATTTGGGGGAAGGGACACCATTCAGCCTGGTGCAGCACCTAAAGAGTTACAGGAGTCCCCAGGTAAGTGTCAAGTACAGGTGGTGTGAGAATGCGGTCCGGATTTTTAGAATCCCCCATTAATCAGGAATAAAAGCACAAAGTTGCTGTAAAGGGGCCCGAGGGCCTGCTGAGAAGTGGCAAAGACTCGGGAGCAGCGAGACCTTCACACACACAGCAGTCTGCACAGAAGACTCCCCAGCTTGGGGTGCAGGGCCAGGGGCATCACTGCCCAACACTCCACAGTGGCACCAACTGGAGGCCAAGGGAGGAGGCCAGAAACGCAGGTCTACCTCCTTGGGGTTCTTGCTGGATGCTGCTATGTGGTAGGAAGGTCAGAGCTAAGAAGGGCGTGGGGAAGACTCAGCAGAGTCCAAGCCTCTTCCAGGCACAAGCCAGCCAGCATAGCAGTAAGCTTTACAGGAAGTCCTAGATTCTCAAATCTGCTGCCCAGCAGGAGACTCTGGGTTCAGTGTGTGTCTGCCAGCTACCAGTTCTCAGGCCGCTCAGTGTGCTTATCTAGAATCACACCAAAAGATCCCCACCCCCACCCCCACCCCTGGAAATAGAACCCAGGGCTCCTACCACAGAGCTATTCTCCCAGCCTGCCCTTTTTTTATCTTGAGACAAAGCCTCCCTAAGTTGCCCAGGCTGGCCTTGAACTTGAGATCCTCCTGCCTCAGCCTCCCTAGTCACCAGTAGTACAGGTGTGTGCCAGTGTGCTTGGCTATATAAAAGTTCCTTATTGTTATACCATTTGTCAGTTTCCTAAATCTCAGATACACAGATTCAAACACTTGGTGCCCACAAGGCAGAACCTGCAGCGTGCTGATTACAAACGGCCACCCAGGAGGTCTGGATGGAGAGACTGCTTCCTTGGGGCCTGAGGAACATCAGAACCAGGACTGCAGAAACACACCCAGCAGCTCCTGGAACATCGGGGCTGAACTCAGCGCTCTATGTTTTCCTTCCCAAATCTGGTATAAGCAGGGTCGAGGCAATGGTAGTTAAGTGCTGGGATGGCCTGGGTAATATTTCCAATAAAATGTCCCAAAACAGTAAGCTGAGACGTTTAGTCTGTTTGAAAATCCTATCTAAAGCTGAAACTGTGTCTCCAGTCTGCTCCCAACTGAAACACAGGGCTGTGCGACCCCCTTCCTCCCGCCATGCTCTTTGTAGAAAGCCAACAAGTGCAGGTGGCTGGAGACCACCCAGCAGGGGCCAGCTGGTCCTCCTGCTCTCCTCCCACAGATCTTGGGCACTGAAGCCACAGTTGGCCCTGGGCTCTGCATGGCTCCTCCTCCTGAGAGCGCACCAGTGTGCCTGATGTCAGCACCTTGATGTCCTCTGCTGACGTCTCCTGGACACTGCTGGAAGGGGGCCACTGTTCCTCAGTGCTTGACTTTAGAGAAGGTAAGGGAATTCTACCTGACATGGGGGGGGGGGAGGTGGTTCAAAAGGGAATATTGGTTCAAGGCCAAACTCCTGCCATTAGGAGGGGAGAGAGGGGCCCGGAAGGGCCTTGCCTGACCTTCTTTTAATCCCAAACCCTGGCAGATACACCACTGGATGCCTTCTCCCAACAGCCGCCCAGGGCAGAGGGTTCTTCCAGCACTGACAGCTCCCTCGCTCCCGCAGGACCAGGCAGAGAGAGCAGAGCTGAGGCCTGCCACTCCCTGCCACTCCAGAGTCAGCACCCTTGTTTCTATTATTTGCAGACAGCAGGCAAAAAAAGAGGTTTTCTTGCGCCCCCCACAGCATGAAGGCACCCTGGACCGAGCCTAAGAAGCAAGGCAGAAGGTCACTGTTTAAAACCCTGAATGCGGCTCACAAGAGGCAAGGTCAAAGGGATGGAGGGTTGTTTTTTTTCCATTCTCCTAGTAAACCGTCCAGGCCGGCGCCTCCTCCAGCCTGGCCTAACCCTTCCCTCAGTGGCTTCTGACATGATCAACCTCCGACAGCAACGCGGCCATGCCCGGAAACGCAAACATATGACTAAACACCCTCCCGCAGGCGGCACAGTGGAGTGCGGGAGCGCGGGCGGTACCCAGCACCTGCGCGGCCGCACCCAGCGCAGCGCCACCGCCTGCGCCCGCGGCCTGCGCGATGAGCCGGCCCGCTCCGCACATCCCAGAAACCCGGCTGCGGAAATAAACGGCCGGTGGCCCGCGGAGGTCGCCTGGAGAAGTAGAAGGGAGCTCGTCCCGGCCGCAGGACCCCCCACCCCCGGCTTGCGCGACCAGTGGGCCCCGCCACCCCCGCCACCCAGGGC